TGCCTAACATCTTCTGGTGCTGATTGGAATGGAATAATCTGTTACTTTTGTTTATAAGGGTAGAGGAGAGCTTTTGCATTTTAGTTTTTTGTTTCTTTCTAATCCATGGTTTTGGTTGTTTTAACTGATGGTATTCAGTTAAAAATCCTCTCACTTTATATTCAAATTTTATTTCCTAAATTTCTCTATTTTTCTCTTTTTTTTAAATTAGATCCTTTGAACCGTGTTGTGTCAAACCTGGAGAAACTCTTTAACTGGAGTTATAAGTCCCTTGATCAGGATGGAGCACAATGGCAGCTCTGCAAACATACAGACCCTGTGTTCAGAAACTGTTTTTGTGTCTCCTTAGAAGGAGAGAATCTTGATTTATTTAAAGAGTTTATTCAGAGCCTCTTTCACATCCTTATTCCTCAGACTGTAGATCATGGGATTCAACATGGGGAAGACCACAGTGTAAAAGGTGGAAACTATTTTGTCCCTATCCATGGAATAGCTGGACCGGGGACGACAGTAGATGTAGAGAATGGAGCCATAATATAAAGTGACAGAGAGCAAGTGGGAGGAGCAGGTAGAGAAGGCTTTGAGGCGGCCCTGGGTGGAGCGGATTCTCAAGATGGTGGCAATGATGAAGAGGTAGGAGGCGAGTATGAACACTGTGGGGGTGACGACATTGGAGGCCAGGAAGAAATACAGTAGAGTCTGGTAGCCATCTTTTTTGCCACAAGCCAGCTTCACTAGGGGCAGTAAGTCACAGAAAAAATCATCAATGACATTGTCACCACAGAAGTTCAAGGCAAAAGTTCTTTTGGTGATGACAGAAGAGTTAATAAATCCACCAAGGTAAGAGGCTACTACCAGAAACGCACATAGCCTTACGGACATTGCTTGAGAATAAAGCAGTGGTTTGGAGATGGCCATGTAACGGTCATAAGCCATAGCAGCTAACAAATAACACTCACTGTATGCCAGCCCAGCAGAGAAGAAGAACTGAGCTACACAGCCGGCAAAGGAGATGCTCTTGTCCTCAGAGATGCAGGTCACTAGGATCTTCGGGGTGTAGACAGACGAATACCAGAGATCCAGGAATGAGAGGTTCCCAATGAAGAAGTACATGGGTGTGTGGAGCCTGGAGTCATTACAGATCAACACTATGAGTGTGGTATTTCCCATCACGGTCACAGAGTACACACCAAGGAACACCACAAACAGGATCAACTGCATCACAGGGTCTGTTGTGAAGCCCACCAGGATGAACTCAGTCACAGTGTGATTGCCCCTCTCCATGACTATAATCTCACCTAAGAGGAGAGAAAATGATGGTTCACCTTAAATTGCTTTGCTGAGTACGTAGAAAATATGCTAAATAGCATCGTGTCACAGGGAAACCTAGAAGTCCAGGGTCAAAGCAGTGACAATAAGTGCTCCTTTCCTCAGCTCTTTTTCACTTTGACATAATCACTCATTTTGTAATTATGTATTCTTATGCCTTAAAATTGTCACACCCTTGGGTTATTAAGGAGCTCTGGTAACACACTTGTCTAAGGCAACTGAATGCTAACTAGAAGTTTGGCAGTTCAAAACCCCACCAGCTGCTCCATTGAAGGAAGATGGGGCAATTTAATTCCTTAAAGATGACCTCCTTGGAAACCCAATGGGGGTTGCTATGAGTCGGTATCAACTCAATGGCAGTGGGTTTGGTATTTTGGTTTATTGTAATTTCAAATTTCTGAAGTAAGTAATTGTGTTTTTCCCCATCAGAATGACTATTTAACTAAATGAAAGACAGATTTTGTAATCTGTTTTCTTGTGCAGTTGTCCTCTTCATAATTCTGTGCTTTCTTACCTTAAAGTGTAACCAATTTGTGTCTT